TAGAAGAGCAGATACGATTCATATAAACACTGACGGTTCTAAAACAAAACAAAGCCCAGGATGTAGAATATACTCCAGATCCATAAACCTAAACATACAATGGGATGTGAGCAATAGTGCCAGTGTAATTTAAACAGAGCTCACGGGGATTCTCATAACATCAAAAGAAATCACCAGAAACAATATCAATAAAAGAAACATGCTTATCTAGATAGATAGCAGACAAGCCCTACTTACGCTAAACATGCCACCAATTTATTTAGGGTTAGTACTAGAGCGTCACGAAGCCTTGGCTGCAATAGGTTAGGTTATGTTGAAAATGAGTGGGTTGATCTCATCGCCTTCCACTGTCACCCAGTTGGATTTATTGTGGCTGTCTATCAGCAATGTGTTCCCCTTAAGATGGATCGAAAGGTAATCTGTCTTGCTCATTCACTGGCCAAGAAGACAGCCAACCAAATACTTGTTGAACCTATCTCTTCAATTGGCCTGAGTTTTCAGGGAGCTATTATGTTATCCTGACAACATTACAGCAAGCAAATACTTGACTATGACTAGACAGAATCTGCGCTTGGGTCACAGGCATTTTGACTGGTCATTGCCAAGTACGGAATCATCTCTATATCATGGGGCTGTCAGAATCCACACTCTGCAGGGGGTGCGAACAAGATGAGACTATCGAGTATATCTTCTACGAGTTCTCGACACTCCCATTTATTAGAAGATTTTTGTTTGGCGAGTACCGGCTGATATAAAAGAAGCACCTCTTGGCGACGTTGTCAACTACATTGAATCTGTGGGCTGGCTCACGAGCTAAGAGGTCCCATCATCTTTGGAGGATGCACAATGGGCCTAGTAGGCCTAAGTGCCGTAAGGTTAAACAACCCCCCCACAAGTTACAGATACAGATGTGGTGAGACCGAGTACGTTTGGTTATTGTTATATTGACGTTCGATCGTATTTTTTTTCATTGATTCAGTCAAGATATTTTATAGGAACTGTCTGGATTAAGTTTTTTCTGGCCATCTTCGTCTCTCTTCTATGTTTTTGGTATTTTAACCTTTTTTGAATTCGTGCATTCACAAGTTGTGTCCGGAGTGGTGTTTTCGAGCGACGAATCACAGCCTCTGTCACAAGTGACAATTGCTGACGAACGTGCGTATTGCGCTCTGGAGATTTCTAGAAGCTTCGTGTGACGTAGCGATTTCCTGTTGTGGGTTGTTGAAACAACTTCGCCTCGTGCTTTAGTAGTTTTTGGTTTCGGCATTTAAGGAAAAGTTGGTGTATTTTTAAGGACTATGGAAATTCATTTTGTTCTATTCCTACCGAAGTATGTAGGTATTATACCTTAAAATCACTTTGTAGACGATACCGTTTAGTTGGATTTAATTAGTGTTCAACGGCGTACTTTTGTTTGGATTGAACAAAGATGGTCGTTTCATCTATCGCCAGTTTTGGGATCAATAAAACCTTTTTGCCTGGCCATAGTAGCCCAAAAGAAGAAAACAGCCGACTAGTTTCTTCACATCCATTGGAAAAATCTTTGAATGTTTTTATCCACTTTACTTGCTTTTGAGTTTCTTATGTATCAGGGAAAATTAAGGAAATAGCAGTAAGTCCAACTTTCACATAGTATTGTTATACTACATCCTGTAGTGGCCTGCGGACGTTGAAACGTCATTACTGGTCAAGAAAATTCTAGGCAGTTCCAAAAGGTTCGAGAAAGGTCAACAAGCTATATAGGCCGATGATCCTGACGTCAGTTTTCAGTTTTATGATAGACGTTATACGTTAATGTTATCAGTTGTGTTGTTATTGTAAAAGTTGAGTTGAAATAAATTGAGATACCAAAAAACCTGTGTAACAGTATTGTGCTATTGTCTTTTTGAATAAAAGAAGAAAATAATTTAGTCTGCAGTCGGTTTAAAATCTGAAAATGGGCGGGACATTACTTTTTTTTTTGATTATATTTGCATTATAATTTTACGTTTTTTTATAAACGTGTAAGTGAATCGAGCGCTTATATTTTTGTGACTTGGATTTCTCGTGATTTTGGGGTACTAGTGACCAGTTTCACAGAGGCAGTCTGATTTTACGAGTTGGTTCCACCTTATAGTTTTCTACTACCACCACACTTAGTCAGTAAGAATGAAGTCCGAGCCCCTAAATATTCGCCTTTGGTTGAGAACCTTTTCTACATCAGACGAGAGTTACAGAGATATTATTGGCGCTTAACCATGTACGTGCAAGGAAATCGACTCGAGGAAGGATGTTCTACTTATTTCTATTATTTTCTTATTTTTACTCAAGGCCTACTAACTATGGTAGATATTTAGGTTTACTATTTATAACTAATATTTTGGAAAGCGTATTATCATACGTTAATTTTATTTCTTAGCAATTGGATTTTATTTATGATTTAAGAAATAGTAGTGAAATAATAGTTGTAAGACTAAAATCAATTAACGATACATATTAATATTATTTTCACTTTTTGCAGTTAGCACATGATGTCACACGCCTTGGTACCATTGCTTATGATCCTGTTACGTTGAGTTTTACTTAATTATGGGGTAGGTGTATTATACCATCGGACATCCCATACTATTTACTGTACTTGTATATTTTATATTTAATTTTTATGTTTAGTTGTTTTTAAATGAGATTGTTCACTGGGGCTGTGTTTGTACTAAAGCCTGGATTTACATTTTTATACATCATTGGAGAGTCTTGGGTTTATTAATTGGTATAAGCATGAGTTTTATTTGTCTCACTTTGTTTCTAATGTTTTTTTCAACTTAGCCTTAGGTCAAGAAACGTAGTGTTACTGGCATAATTTAAATCGAACTGGCACCTGTAATTATTAGCTTGAAAACAGTAAATTTTGGTATTAGACGGACCAGGGCTTTCTCCACTCAGAGCGAAATTGGCTACCAGAGGCTGACAGTCGAGACTTTTGCCTTAGAAGTTTAATTTAATGGCAACAATTGGACTACTTCCGCCGTAAATCTAAATGGATGGAATAGCTTATTTTCTTAATAAATATCTTGAGCCATTTACCAAAAATATGGTCTAAATCAGAGCTTCAAACAAAAAAATACTGACCACTATTCTGAGCAATTAGATAGTTGAGTACAATGACCTAAAGGATCAAGATTTTTTAGTTAGATTTGAGTCTTCCTTGATTTGGAAATTATGGTTAAGCCAGATCATGTTCTGGCAGCTATTGACACTGCCAACTCTAAAATAATTATTATCAGGCACTACCTAATTGGGAGAAATGGTAGCCATAGGTGAATGGTTGGGATTGAGTACAAAGGTTCTAAAGAAAAGTCTTTTATCTCTCACAAAGTCAATAAAGCCAATAAATTGATTTTTAGAGAAATAAAGGACTTCTTTACAACCTTCGTACTCAATCCCAACCACTCACATCCAGCTACCGTCACTCCCAATTAGGTAATGTCTGATGATAATTATTTTAAACTAGTCAGTGTCACTTGCTACTAAAACATGATCTGGCTTAACTATTATTTCCATACTTGATGCCGAATCAAGGAAGACTCTAATCTCACTAAAAAATCTTGCTCCTTTAGGTCATCGACGTGCAGATCAGTTTATCAGTCCTTGCTTTATTTTTTCAGTATTTCATCGAAAGTGGCTACACATGGAAACTCTCATCTCTCAAGTTTTGTCTGATCTTTTCAATTTAAGTCAAAGACAATTACTAGATTGTATGCTGCATACACTCATCTCGTCTAGCAGTTAGGATGTTGGTCCAGCGTTCGAACTTTAAAGAAAGATTAATAGCGGATTCGACTCAAATGCTCTTGCTCGATGACAAAGCGCTTTCAGTTCTGAATTGATTTTGGGCAGCATTTTTATAATTCAAATTCATATCTAGCAGTGCACACAGCAAGCAGGAGCTAGAGTTCGACAATGGTGTAGCGCATCTTTATCCTTATTCGACTGGCACAGTTAGCACTTGACATTTCAGGTTTTTAACAAATTTTAAACGATATTTATTTATAGTTGCCAAACCAAAAATTAAATCTCTATTAATTTCAAAGATTTTCCATTCTCACTAATAATAGAGACAAAAATGATAATATATTTAAATATATTAAATAAATCCTAACCTCTAAAATGACACTGGCACTGAAAAAAAGTACAGTTCCAAAAAATTCGAACTTTGAGCAAGAGCGCCTGCCAGTCGAACAAAAATTTCACTATGCCTTAATACTGAGCAATTTCAGTCGAATGCAACAATTCATTTTTAATTAATTAGGTTCTGCCAGTCGAACAAACATCACTTAAAAAAGTCGAACTAAATGCGCATTAATGCAGCCAGTCGAATCCGCTATAAGAGAATCATCTTTAATATTAGACTGGATTGGATTAGGCGTTAGTAGTAATGGATTTCATATAATTTTAGAATCTATTAGAAAAGTGGCAACGCAGCGTTAGTCATTTCATCCTATTCCTCTTTGGAAATTTCTTAATGCTAATAAATTAATTAACTATGTAATAGCTCTTTTTAATCGGGTACTGACCTGATACTGGTCTATTATAAACATAATTGAACTCCAGGTAGATTGTGTTCGATAATAAATCTGAGATGTTTAATTTTATCTTGGCTCTTTTGTTTGGCATATCGGTTTACATTCACATTTGTATATAAAAATATCAATAACAAAAATGTAATAAATTTGTTATAAAAGGAAATCGTAAATACTATAATTTTATTACGAGAATGTGCTTGATTAATTTTACATAAATTCACAGGAAATGGATTTAAGAGTTATTGGATTAGGAGAAGAAGTATTACTAGCTCAATGTCCAGACTTTTCGCCGTTTTACTATTTTATAGGGATCAAATAATATAGGGAAAATAAAAAAAAATAATACGTTCGATATCTTTTTTTAAGCGAACACATTGATTCTGATTTTCCTATCATTATTTCTGATAGGCGCTCCTATTGCACATCTATTCTACATTGTCTTGATAAATACCCCATGTAAATACCACTGAACTGGGTATGGAACATAATTATATCGTAACACACCAACCTGTCAACTATCATTCAAAAATGTCACCTCAAGTCAGATTTATATCTTCTCCAACTATTCCATATTAAAAATTTAAATCCAGATAACTCTATATGTGTTTAGCTATGATCAATGAGCAGATACTTTCGAAAACGACCATACCGATCCCGCAAAATTAGAAAATGTCCTACAAAATGTAAACGTAAATCCAAAAAAGATAATTGCAGACTGAAAAAGACGAAAAAATCGACTAATCTAAATGCGCAGCGTCTTGCCGAGTATTTAAATAACGAAAAAATTCAAGAACATTTAAATAGGTTGCTTGAAAAATACCCCAACAATATTCAAGTCGAGGCCATAGGAAGTTCTAAAGAAGGCAGAGCTATATATTTGGTATTTATTACGAATAATGGTGGAGATATACCCAAAAATGCTGTTTTTATAGAAGCCGGTTCAAACGGAGAAGATCTCATAGCCGTAGCTTCAGCACTGTACATCATAGATTACCTCTGTAAAAATGCTAGTACTAGCAATACTTTAAAAGTGATGGATTATTTTGTAGTACCTTGTACCAACCCAGATGCCTACGAGTTGACCTTGCATGGGCGGAAACCTAAGGTTAATCTTGCAACTAGTTTTCCGTTTACGTTGGGACAGTGTGATCTAGAAGTGATAGGTTAGTGTTATTAATAATTTAGAAATTATCTTCATTCTTCTAAGGCTTCTCTAAGTGCCATTCTACTTTTAGTATCATCATGGTAATGAAATTTTGAATATAACAGGTGTCACCCATTGTTCTTAGGCTTCTCTAAGTGCCATTATCCTCTTAGAAAAATTCTGGCAATGTAATTAAATAAAACAGTTTTAAATATTTACCTTAAAGTCCTTAACCAGGACACATCTTTTTTCTGTATCTCTTCTTCATTTTCTTGTGTAGTCCACTCTATATTTCGAGCGCATCTAATCAGTGCCATATTTATTTATAGTAAAATTAAAATACGTAGCAAACAACTTAACGTTTATTTTCATATGTACTTATTTACTACAAAATAGTTTCTTCATCTTGCTTCCTTGTTCTTTTTTATCTTTTTTCCGTGTTACTGTATTTTCGTTTGCAACTGCTTCTAAATAGTCTTTACAAAAACATACCACATATTCATTAGACCAAAATAAGTCGATTTAAGTAAAATTACCTTAGTACAAAGTTGCTTCGTTTGGGCTCCAGAGGGCCTTGAGTTTTATGTGGTAAAAAAATAGTGTTAAAATTTTGTCCGATAATAATACATAGGCGTAGAACTTGATTTTTTAAATAGTTGCACCTTTAAAAATTCTACGCCAATGGAAGAAAAGGAGTTTGAGTATGAAATTTAGATTGCGCAACTCATTTACTTTAAAAAAGGTACTCTTGATAAGACTCTCTGGTTTTCGCTAAATTTTTGTTTTAATAATTTAGAGTGTATAGGTTTCACAAAAATATTTATTTACAACATAATCAAAATGGAGATTTTACAAAAATTGTTCAAAATGTTCACCATTTTCACGCATACAAAGATTTATACGTCGAAGAAAATTAAAATGTATCCTTTCCATAACTTCTTCATCACCCCTAAGATTGTTTATTGCATCTTGAATACGTTGCCAGAGTTTTTCCTCATTTTCTACAGGTTCCCTGTAAACTGTGATTTCAGATGTCCCCATAAAAAGTAATCCATCGGTGTTAGGTCTGGGGAACGTGGTGGCCAGTTTACAGGTGCGTCATTACCTCTGCCTATCCATTTGTGTGGATATTGTTTATTCAAGTGGTTTCTAACGTTTAAAGAAAAATTTGGTGGAGCTCCATCTTGCATAAACCACATATCTCTCCGAAGTTGGAGAGGTAAACCTTCTAACAATTCTGGCAACGTATTTTGTAGAAAATCCAAATAATTTTCTCCAGTTATTCTTCGTGGAAGTATGACAGGACCAACAATGAAATTACCAATTATTCCAGCCCATACATTAATTTTGAATTCATGCTGAAAATGGTTTACCTTTATTGCATGCGGATTTTCAACGGCATAAACATGTTCATTATGGGTATTAGTTATACCTCTTCTTGTAAAAGCCGCTTTATCGGTAAAGAAAACCTTCTTGACAAAGTTCGGATCTCTTTCTCTCTGCATATTAACAAATCGACAAAAACCCAAACGAATTTGAGGATCATGGACTAATAATTCTTGTACTGGCTTCTTATGGTATGGATATAGCAATTGTTCTCTAACCACTTTATGAACGACATCTTTACTTAGTCCTAGTTCCCTTCCAATTCGTCTGGTGCTTAATTCTGGATCTTCTTCAACACGTTCTAAAATGTCTTCTTCAACTTCAGGAATCCTTACAAAACATTCTCTTCCATTATCAACAGTGTTGGGAGCAAAGGAACCGGTCTCCCGAAAACGTCTCTCAACAGCAGCAAAAGTTGGGTGGCTAGGTACACGACGATTTGGAAACCTTTCAGAGTACACCCTGATACTCTTTCGAGCATTTCCTTTACAAAATCCTAATGTCAGTAACATATCGGTATATTCTGCATTGGTATATTGTACAGCCATATTAATAAACCACGCATTTGTTTTTTTAATTATTGAGTCAGATAGAACACTTTCAATCGTTAACAAGAGATTAGGTGTTAAAACTTGACAATATTTTTATTTAGATGAAACTATGGAAATCAACAATAAATGTTTTTGTATACGTATTGCAGGCAAATAATTAATATTCCTCAAAAAATCGTACATGGCAAGAATCGAGTATTTTTGTTAAAAGTCTCGATTAGAGGTGTTGAAGAAGATATGAAAAAAGTACATTTTTATGTTTTTTATCGTATAAAATTTTGTCCGATAATAATACATAGGCGTAGAACTTGATTTTTTAAATAATTGCACCTTTAAAAATTCTACGCCAATGGCAAAAAAGGGGTTTGAGTATGAAATTTGGATTGGGTACTCATTTACTACAAAAAAGTACCCTTGATAACAGTCGATTTACTCTCATGGTTTTGACAAAGTTTGTATTTTAATAATTATTTTTTATGTTCTAAAATTACTAAAATGCAAATTTCGTCAAAACCATGACTTCTTTATTATGATAAATATTAATAAACTTTATAGGAACTTATGATAGATATATTATGGACGGCATCTCACAAAGAAAATATATTTATATTATATTTCCTTAGTATTTTTGTACGATACTAAACACTTCTAAAAGTTTCTATACATTTTTTTTAAATTTTATTATTAAAGAAGATATAGAACCTTGTAATGTTCGAGCTGTTGAAGATTTGAGGGCCATCGTTACTTTACAAAAAAATCATGATTTAGCAATTTTGTACTTTCTCTTCTAGTTTTTTTGGATACCCTTACCAATTTGGGACATACTTTATTTTTTACATAAATTAAATTATTTTTAGACGACGACCAATTTATTAAAGCGTCTAAAAAGTGGAAAGAAAATTATGATTTTGACAGCCCTGAACGAAGTATTTTAATTAATGCGATTGCTAGTTTCCGGTTTGCTATAAAACTATTTATATCATTACAAGAAGGAGGTGAAAAAATTGTGTACCCTTTCGGTATGGCAAAGCAAGAACCCTGTGATGTTGAAGACCTTGCCTGGGTAGCTAGAATGGGAATATGTGGTTGTTGCAAACACTTCCAAGTAGGCTCCGTTTATCAACATTATGGTCTCACGTTCGGAACCATTATTGACTTTCTAAGATTATTTACTGATTCTCTTAAGTTCACTTATATTATTCACTTAAATGATAGAAAGAAAATTCAGAGGTTTGATGAAGTACCAGAACGTGCCGAGAATGTATTGTGTTGTATCACTTTGATGGCAAAGAATGTTTTTGATCATTATAACGTTGAACAAAGGGAGGTAACTCCACCAAAAAAAATTGTATTCTTAAATAAAATTGGTGATGATAAATAAGGAACTTGTTTAATTTTGCCACTTTCGTTTTTAATGATTCATGCTGAATTTTGGATGAAATGTTAGTTTATAATGATACTCCTTGAAGACATTAATAACTATAATATAATTTAAATAAGAATAATTTCTTGACCGTAGCAGAATTTTATATAAATTAAAATTTCCTTGGTTTATTCGGCCGTTTTTATTTTCTGTTATTTAGCACAGCACTACATATGTTTCGGAAAACTTTTCCTTCTTCGGGTGGAGTCAAAATTTAAAAAAAAAAACAGGGACGATTACTAACAAATTAAATTTTGTTTAAAATAGCAGAAACCCCATCTTTCTGTTTCAGCGTGTGAAGATATATTCGAAATAATGATTTGGTTTAACACGATAAAGTGGGGAAACAAAAAGATGAGTTTTTACAAAGTTAAAAATTACCATTGGCGTTACAGTTAGGGATTAAAAAGCTTACAATTATTTAATAATATTAAAATAAATGTGACAAATCTTTTATGTCAGTTTTATTATTTACAGAGTTGGTATTTTTCTTAATATGTATCATCTCAAGGACTGTTATTTTGTTGAGATTTGGTTCATTTTCGAGAATTTTTTCATTTTCAAAATCGAAAGAGTGCAAATTTTCTAAGGCATGTTTAGTTAAGGCAGTGGAATTTTCATTTTAATCCCTAACTAACCTTTATCCAACGCTTAGTGTACATTCCATTTCCATAATGATGCCAAGTAGTTACCTTATCAGAATAATCAAATTTTTCCTTTCAGCGGATTTTGTGGAAAACACAAAAAATTTACAAATTTTTTGTTTACTTCTTACTTCATAGTTTTTACAGTTTGGCACAAAATAGATTAACATTTTGAATTAGTCTTAGACACTGAATCAAAATATAAAACAAATAATTACAGTCGTAAAACTTTAAATAAAACAACATAACCTTAAAAACTTTTATTTACCTTGCCTTAAAGAAGTTTTTCGTTGAATTGACACACATACTTCCAATTTATTAAACTTGTAGTTTCATTAAAACTTAATTTTTAATAAATTTAATTAATTCTTATATTATGTTGGATATTTAGAATTTGACAGCTTGATTGGAGATTAAATGTAGAGAATGAAGTAAATAGAAACACATATGAACACTATGATATGACAAGTGGAGGCACTTTGAGTCATATTTTGATTAATTTTAAAATTATTTTATATTTAAAGATTGACGGAATGAAAACGTTTTTATATCAATTAAATCACGCTATTTAAAAAAAAATGGCATTTTTTATCACCAAAACTTACTAGTTCGAGTTTGTCAAATATCGTAAAAGGATTATGCAAAATTGCAGATACTTATTCTAGTACCGTCATTGTATCTCTTTATTCTATATCTGATTTAAAAGATTCGCAGGCTACTTTGTGACGTCACTGCGTGCGTAGCGCAAAATAAGATGATTTTAGTGATTTTAAGTAGGTCATTGTTCGTTTTATCGATCTGTTAATGTATTAACATCCCTTTTTAGGGAAAGCATTTCACTCCCGCGGACTCACTCAGAAAAATGAGCCAAAGGGATGCGATTAGCCAGAGCGCAGTGGCGTAAAAATAGAGATTAACACGTATGAAAAAATGTAATTTTGAAAGCCTTTTGTGCGTTTTAGAGCCGTATGTCAAGTAGATTCCGAATTATAATTATAAACAATCCTTGTAACAGGACTCTCCTATAAAAATTTGACAACTAATTGAATGCTTGAAATTCAGTTTTTGTACACAAAATTGGTTGAGTAGCTGCTCATCGTTGATTATTTAGAAAAGAAGATCTTAAATTTTATTTAATTAATAATAATAAAAGGTTCATTATGCATTTCTTAAGTCTAAAACATGTATTACAATAATTTAGTATGTAATTTTAATGACTTAAAAACACGAGTCAGGATTCCTTGACCGTTAAAACAATAATTGACTGCGTTATTCGCTTTTGTCAGAACAATAAACAAGCAATCGATAAATTTGTTGATTATAGAGACAGCAACTGGATTAAAACCATTTCAAGTAGTCGCATACACATCAGCTCAAAGGAATTAAACTCGAGATTGATTTTTCAAAGGCATTTACTGAGAACTTAAGAAGAGACATTTATTTATTTGACTTTAACGAGTATTTATGAGCTAGGCTCCAGTTTCTTCCTCTTGTCTATCAAACAGATCTAAATTTATTCTACTTAGGATCGTTTAAAAGAACAAGAAGAATTAAATGTATTTTATAGTTATTTGATGACTCTAACAACACGACGAAGAAAAAATGTTTATTGGACGAGATCGGTCCATTGGAAACATATGCTGGGTTAGCATATTACAAAATTCTTTAGAGTTAACCGGCAGGTGTAGCAAGAGGTGATTTTAGAAAATGAATTTATATGTTACCATTTGTAAATTCGAATGAAGTACGAGGGTTGATCCTTAAAATTCGGTCCTAACTTATTTATTATACAGATATTTCAACAATTTAAATTCGACAGAGTACTGTAAATAAAACAAGGTTGGAGCATGGGGATACACCCTCGTAAATCAGTGTTTCGTATTTTTTTTATAATTGAGGCCCTTCCTATGGGGCCTCAGTATTGCATTCTTAAAGACGAAAAAATTTTTCTTACCCCCATTTTTTTAAACCTTTTTCATGTTTCCGTTCATTCTGAGTCCGAAAATGCAAAAAAAATATATTTCGTCTGGTCGTCTGTGCGTATGTATGCCGGCACGATAACTCTAGAACAAAAGTTCTGATTGACTTGCGGTTTTGATTTTCTTGAATAATTGCTTCTAACTTAAAACCCTACTGATTTCCAGAATTTTCGGTTAATCCTAACTACTTTAATATCAATTTTCGTAAAATCCGCCTATGTATTTCTTATGTGACTAATTTTAAGAATTCCAATCATTTCTAACATTCCTAACATTCCATACATTGCAAACATTCTCCAACGACCTGTTAAACAACAGCTATTGATTGTAAAGGTGAGATTTCTAAGGCGAGTTGCGAGCTTCATAGTTGTAACCATAGCCATTTTCGAGGCTATTATTATTCAAAATAGTAGTCGCCAAGCCTGCCAATTTATGAAAAATATATAAGCAGTTTCTTAAAAATTACTCGATATTGCCTTACTGTTCTTCACGTTTTAAATTTTTGAACTTCCTGTATTATATTTTCAGGATTTTGATAAATTCGTTTTCTAGTAATGATGCACAACAATCTGGAATATCTAAAGACAAAGAATGAATTTCTAACATAATGATAGATTGTGCAGCATTATTAAGAATTAAAGTGTAAAAATTTTGTTCTTCCACAAAGTCAACATTTTTTAAGTGTGTCACCTGTTCTGAACTTCTTCCCATACTAAAAACAATAAATAAATAATTCTTGTAAATAAAATATGATAATTATTTGAGCAATCGCAGATTCTGGAAGTTGTGAAATAAAAAACGTTTGCATTTCATTTTCATCAAAGCTTAAATTAGTTTTTTTAATTTTATTTGTAAAGCATTGCATTTCACTAATTGGAACTGCCTCATATTTTTCTCTGACCTCATAATTTTGAGCAGCCCACATACATTTATTATGTCAGTTTGTGAAACCAGCTCTAATGTAGAAAGATTTTCCCAAAAACAAAAAAAGAGCAGAAAAAGAAAAACACTAATTAGTTGGTGAAAATATTATGTGTTCAATCGTTTTAGCATGATAGCGCTTTTTTTAAACATACACCTGGTACATTTTTTAAAACTCCTGAAACATGTTTACAGTGCCTACTCTTATCAGCCTTACAGGAACAACTCCATTTACCAACTTTTACTTTGTCACAGGTTGTTATTAACTGTTATTAACTAATGAATCGCTAAAATCCACACTATTTAGTTTATGCAATTATGTATTCTTAATATATTTTCTAAAAATATAAAAGAAAAAACGAAAAATAAGATGACAACAGTTTCTTCTCACATATAAACAAATGCTAGTCAGGTGTTAGCTGTTATAGTTAGAGGTGGCGTGAATTCACTGTCAGTGATTATGTCACCGTTCCTTGGTTGCATACAAAACTTGATACAGTTATTGTTACACATAACTAAATAAAGAAACAAAAAATATTTGGTCGGAACCAGAGCAGATAGTTCTTTGAGCGAGAAAATCACAATGATTTTTCGGAACTGGTTTATTTATTGTCACCGGAGTTTTAAAAAACCAAACAATGATTTTTTGGAACTGATCAATTTAATGTCCCTTTTAAGAACAGTAATTTTTTGGAACTGGTTAATTTCTTATCACTGGAGTTTTAGATATCCAGAGATATTTTTTAACTTAGCTGCTATGAGCTTTTGTATTTTTAAATCGTTAATGTTGTTACATACTGTTAAAGCTATTTATTGCATAAATTAGATGATATATCATGTGTATACCAAACTCTGATAGCTATCCCAAAAAGTAATCTCATCCGTCACCATTACATCAAAGCTACCTATCCCAATGTTCAGGTAACAAGGTTGATGCAAAGGTGACGTCATAATGTCAGGAGTTCTACACATACTTTAGGTGGAATTAAAATTTAATAACTTGAATTTTATGTAAAATATAAATAATTTATCACTATTTATTAGAACAAATCAAGTATTGGAAATAAATATAAACAAACTCTCTAATAGTCCAATTAAATAACGAAAAAAAGCCCCTTCAAGCTTACATTAATTTGTAATTGGATAAAACAAAAAGGACCTTGTGTATTTTGATGTGATCTTTCCGAAAAAAAAAAAAAAAATGTAGCAGTTTTTCAATTTTTTTTAAATTAGGAAAAACCGGGTTTTCCGGAATTTTCCATTGTAAAAATGCTAATTATCTGGGCAAGTATCATTCCGATAGCGAAAATAAATGCACCATTCGAAAGAGGAGGCAAAAATAGTTCGGAAATTCATTGCACAGGTAGTTTTAATGGCGAATTTCTCGCCGTCAGAAGTGCTTTTACCAAAAAGTCG